GCGCGGCGTGCCCGGCCAGGGCGCCGCGCAGGGCCGCCGCGACCGCTGTGCGGCGGTCGCGCTGCCGCGGCCGGGCGCCGCTGCACTCGTCGCGGGCCGCGGCGCGCCGCAGGCGCTCCCAGACGCCGGCGCCGCCGACGACGCCGCGTGCCTCGCGGCGGCCGCCTCCCTTCTCATGGCAATCCCAGCCGCCCTCTCTGCTCTACAAGACGCAAACCCGCAGCCGTCGCCGCAGCGGCCCGCCCTCGCGCCGCCGCAGAGCCTGCAGCTCGCGGTGTATGACTCAGACGGCGCTTTCTACGCCTGCCACCTCGACAACCCCGGCCCCGACGCGCCCGGCGCGCGCGACGGGCCGCCGGGGCTGCGGGTCGCCGATCGGGCGGTGACGGCGATCTTGTACCTTAACCCCGCCTGGGGCCCCGGCGACGGGGGGCAGCTGCGGCTGTGGCGGCCGTCGAGTGGCAACGATCCCGGCGGCGAGGGCGGCGGCGGCGGCGGCGGCGGCGGCGGCGAGGAGGGCGGCTATTTGGATGTGGAGCCGCTCGGCGGACGCCTGCTCCTCTTCCGCAGCGCCGACGTCGAGCACGAGGTGCGGCCGGCGCGCGCGCGGCGCTGGGCGCTCTCGGCGTGGGTGCCCTGGCTCGAGAGCTGCTCGTGAGCGGCTCGCTGCGCGGTGTTGTCTTGTCACTTGTCTTGTCTTCATTTCATCAGAGCGGGCGTGCCTTGCATTTTTTTGCGGTGGTGAATTCAAGGGTTTGGGTGTGGTTGGGTCTTGAGCCCCTCGAAACCGCTTGTTGGAGAACCGCCAGGATGTACAATCTATTGACCTGGCTGTGGTCAAACACCCTTTTCTTTAGAAGTGTGGTTTTCCTGCTCTTTGCTTACGGTCTGTTTGCAGCCTCTCGGTCAGTACAGTCTGTGGTTGTCGACATGAACCTTTTTGTAGTTTTCTGCCATATTGAATAGGAAAACAAGAAAAGGGCCTTTGCCACAGACGGCAGCAGTGCAGCACCCGCGGCAATCTGCGCTGCGTCGCGCTTCCCGATGTTACGCAACCGTGTGAGTGTACCCGTTGCCGCTGTCTGATGCTGAATGTACGCCTGCTTATTGGTCTGGAGATTTAGGTCAGTACGTTATCTAGTTTTTAGAATGCAGAATAGGTTGATGAGAGGACCAGGCGGCGCCGCACGCGTGTTCGAAGCAGTGCTTCACACTGCAGCGGCCCACCCTCCCTCCCATGCAGCCGGGCCTTGCTTCGCCGCTGAGCCCGCAGCGCCGCCGCACAGCAAGAAAGCCTGCATTTTCTTGTATCGGAAAACGTGGCTGCAGGTGCGCGTTTTGGGGGGGCGCATTACACGGTCAGCACCACAGTTGCACTGCGCAAGTGAGGCGCTCTCCGCCATTGAGCATCTCGGGCTCTCCACACCAGCGGAATGGCGCGTGTGACTGTCCAGCCGGGCGCGGGTAGCGCGCGCCAGCCGCTGCGCCCGCCAGCTGCCTCATAAGCGGCACAGCAGACTGCAGGTGGCCGCGCATGCCGCTCTCCAAATGCCTTGCAAGTGGTACGGCGCACCCGCAAATCACCGCTCAAGGCGATATGGGACGTCTCCATCAGTCACCCATGCAGCACACCGCAAACATTGGGTGCAGGCGGCACATCACCGTTTTCGTACTACGGCGCAGACGGTAAACGTCACCGCGGGGTCCATGTTGCAGGCAGTAAAGCGCTACCTGCGGTACCGCAGGCCCCACCCCTCGTACCGCGCGAGGTCCTGCCAGCTCAGCGCCGGCGACGCCGCGGCGCGCGCGGCGGCAAAGTGGCGGCCTGCGACCTCTGTGGCGTTATCCAGGTCCTCCCTCAGGGCGGCCAGCGCCGCCTCCCTGCGCGTGCGTCGTGGCATTGGAATTGCGGCTTTAGAAGAGAAATTGGCATTAGATAAGAGGCGTCAGAGAAGAGAGGCGTTGGAAGAGGAAGGGGCGTTCAAAGAAAATCTGGGTTTTGAGGACGTGCGACACTCGGGTGTCGCGTGCGCTCGCGTGTGTCTAGTTGGTGGGTGGCGCGGCGCAGCGCCGCCAAGAACGCAGCGCCGCACGGGGCTAATCCCGTATGTCAGCACAAAAAGCGCCACGGCGCTGAAGCGCAGGAACCAGCCGCGGCGGCGCGACGACGGCTGCGCCGCGCGCCGCCCCCGTCCCAGGCTGCGTGTGCGCGCGTGAGCGCGTGTGCGTGCAGTCACGTGGTTATATGCACCCCCTCGCCTGCAGAGCGCCGCCACCTCAGCCCCGGTGAAGCGCTCTGTGTCGCGGGCGAGGGCCGGCAGGTCCACGTCAGCAGCCAGCGGCATGGCGCTGCGGGTGGCGGAGCGCGCGCGCGAATCGGCCGCCGGTCGGGTT